CCCCCGCCGCTTGGGGCGGCAAAAACCCTGGAGCCGGCCCTGTCAGCGTTCATCAGGTCTCTCGCTAAAATGGGAATCCTGCTACTTACCCTCCTTGATCTCTGTGGGTCAGAAGTACCACTGAAGTTCTAATTGTTATGATTTATTACCTCGGCACTGCTTTTAAACTGAGATGCAGTATTTCTTTTTTGGACACGCCAGAAGCAGAACTACCTTCTTGCATCATCAGCTTCTCAAGCCTTTTCTGCTGTACATGTGTAGAATACATTGATGGCAAGTAGTAATGACAAAAGGCCAGGTTCAGCTGATGTAAATCAGCATAGCTTCACTGGAACTATGCTGACTTAGACCAGCTGAGGAGCTGGCCCGATTGCTCACCAGTTTTGTTTCAGCCTTCACGGGGCTATTTCAGTATTTTAGGTAAGTTCCAGTAAGTATTTTCCTTCAGTCTACTCCACAGACACGTTTGTAGGCTATACAGAGAGGACTTGCCGAAAACACTTATTTCCCAAAATTATTCTAGACACTGAAGAGTATTTTTAAAATTAATCTATAATACAAATGTTGTATGTGTAAACAGCTGACTGGCTAACAACACTAGGAGACAGATTCAGACCAATAATTTTACCCAGCAGTTCGGCAGCTTACAGCAATTATCAACTATATTTGAAATCTCCTACTATATTATCCAGGGTCAGGCAAACTTTTTGACTTGAGGGCTGGATCAGGTTTTGAAAATTAGGGGAGAGGGTCGTGGCCTGGCCCCCCTCCCCTATCCGCCCCCCCCCGGGACCTCTGCCCCATCCACCCCCCCACACTCCCTGTCCCCTGACCGCCCCCGGAACCAGCACCCCTGACTGCCCACCCCTGCCCCATCCAATCCCCCCTCCTTCCTGACTGCCCCCCCGGGACCCCTGCCCCCATTCAACTCCCCTGTTCCCTGCCCTCTGACCACCCCGATCCCTATCCATACCCCCGCCCCCGACCACTACCCCGAACTCCCCTGCCCTCTATCCAACCCCCCCCCGCTCCCTACCCCCTTACTGCGCTGCCTGGAGCACCGGTGGCTGGCAGCGCTACAGCCGCGCCGCCCAGCTGGAGCCAGCCATGCAGTCGCCATCGCACAGCACAGAGCACCGGGTCAGGCTGGGCTCTTCAGCTGTGCTGCCCCAGGAGCTCGCAGCCCCGCCTCCCAGAGCATTGTGAGCTGAGGCTGCAGGAGGGGGAACAGCGGGGGAGGGGCTGGGGGCTAGCCTCCCAGGCCAGGAGCTCAGGGGCCGGGCAGGAGGGTCCCGCGGGCCGTAGTTTGCCCTCCTCTGATATAATCTAACCCCTTCTGAGGCTAAAGGGGTAGAAAGTAGAGCTGGGAAAAGAACAGATGGGTGCTTTTTGTTGTTTATTGGAAATTCTGAAAAATTAGTTATGGGACAAATTACAAATGAAAATTTTGGCAAATCGAAAAGTCACAAAAATTTTGTTTCTGGTCAAACAAAAAATTTAGTTTCAACAAAATCTAAATGTTTCATTTTTGACCAGATTTTTCAATGCATTTAAAGGAAACTTTGAAGCTAAAAGTCATTGGAACTGAAAAATTGAAACACTTCATTTCAAAACGTTGAAACAAACCATGTTGGTTTTTTGGATTTTTTTTCAACCAAAAGAATACGGCAAAAAATCAACATGAATTTGCAAAACATTCCCATGTCACCAAATCTATGTTTTTTCACCAGAAAAAGAGTTTTGGTCAGAAAATATTGCCCAGCTCTACTACAGAATTCGCTTGTTCCATTAACACCGAGCCAAAAATGATTTTATCCACAAAACTTTCATTTTGGTTGCATTTCCATTGAAAATAGGTTTTAATGAAAAAATGTCACTTAGCTCAACTGATCCGCCACGGCCCATTGTTCCTACCAGAAGAGGTTGGATGAGGAGTGTGGAGGCTACAGTAGTGGCTGCAGAGCAGCTGTGGTGCTGCTTTACAGCTTGGTAGGGGGGACCCTTCCTCCCTCCCAGCTCCCAAAGGAACTCAACTAGCACACAGCCTAGCTGGTCAGACTATGCACTGAGAAGGAAAGGGAGGGTAAGCATGTTACCAACTGATTCACTGTTGAATTCCTTGCTAAGAACGTATTCAGATACCACCTTGAGGGATGACTTTATAAAAACTTAAATAGAAGGAGCGCAGAGTCAGCACTTCTGCAGAAAAACATTATACTAGATAATCCCGCCTTCATTATAAAAACACAACCACCTTGTGACACTGCAAGAGTGTAAAATATTGACCTTGCCACAGAAACAGTACGGAATTGACCAGGAAAGAAAAATAGCCATGTCTGTGAAAACTAGATGCTCTTTTTGAAAATAAAATAAAATAAAGCTGAAAATTAACTGAGGTTGAACGTAAATATTTTTTATAGGAGACCAAACCAATACTGAATGACAATTTCACATAGAAACGTTGGCTTTAGTCCTCCCTATAAAGGTCCCCTATAAGAGCCAGAGGCCTGATTCTGTTTTCACTTTCATCAGTGTAAATTAGGAGCAGTTCTACAGCAGTCACTGGAATTATTCTGGAGAGAGAAGGATCCAGCTTGATATCTTAGAACTGAATGTGTCATTCAGTGGATTGAGAAAAGCAGTTGTTTACCAAGCCAGCGCTTGGCTAGACGACTATGCACATGATAAATAAATACCAAGCCAATATCGTTTGTTTCTTGCTGTGCTCAATGGGTATAATCATTGGAGGTAAAACAAAACATTCTCCACATTTGAGTATGCTTAAAGTTCGCTTGCTCTTAGTTCATGTTCACTTCTGTCACAGGCACAGATGCACGCCTTTTGGACGGTCTCCCAAAATAAGCAGAGTTGTATGTTATGAAGTACCCACTACCCGCCTTTTCTTCGGGCCAATATGCTCTGATTCCTTTCTTGGAATCAGTCTTAATGGCAAGGTCATTCCAATGTGGTGATGGCATAAAATTTAGTAGGGATTACTGCACATAACCCCAGGTAGGGTGGGTAACTAACTCGTCACAGGAATGCTGGCAATGTCTTTAACACAACATCTACACTGTCCTCTTAAGTCATACATGGGCACCATTGACTTTATCTTTATTTTCTGTGATGTTCATTTCAATGTGGTTGAAAACAGGATTGTCGGTTCCTTCATCTGCCGTGGTGAAAGGTTTCCAGTTCAAAACTTCCACTTTCTCATTCTGAAAAAAAGTTCACATTGTAAGGCATGGAATCACACACACACACACACACACACACACATGTGCGCTCACGCCCATCCACATAGACACGCACTATTGCTGTTGTCTATTGCTGGATCCGTCCTCTAAACTAACTCTCACTTCCCGATGTCCTGGCTGCACAGGTGACATATACACAGGACTCGTTACAGTGAGGCACCAAAACTTAGCTCACACAATGAACATTAAATATTTTCAAAGGAAGTGGGGAAGAGTGAGGCCCAGGGAAGGCACAAAGGGAGCAAGAAGGGGAATGGAAACATATAATATTTCTGACTTATTCCAAGGGAGAACAAGATTAAATAAATAGATTTGTTTTAATAGGTAGGGCCTAATTCCGAGTTGGTGAGGTTTTCAAACCTGTCCAGTTAGAAGCCTAAGTCCCATTGACTTTGAATGGGACTTAGGTGGGTTTGAAGATACTGCCCATTTACACTATGGCCCCTTTACATCATACTGACAGCATGGGGGGGGGAGGAGGCAAAAAAAAAGTGCTGGAAAAAAAGCCAAGTGCTGGAAAAATAAAAAAAAAGCCGAGTGATCCTGGCGGCGCAAAATATCGGGACAAAAATTGCGTCCCGACCAGAGATCGGTCGGGATGTGGGACAAACAGCTCAAAATCGGGATGGTCCCGATTTTACCGGGACGTCTAGTTACCCTACTTACAGCAGATGTAAATTTCTCATTTAAATGTACAGGAGATCAAGAGTCACTACATTTTTTTTAAAAACTACAGTTTCAGCATTTTTAATTCATTTAAAAAAAAACCCAAACAAACCCTTTATTCTGAGCAAGAAGAGTTTCCTATCAAGCTTTTCAAATAAGAAGTAAAAGTTAAAAAGCAACCAGAGTCGCTATTCAAACACAGGGCCAGCACCCTTTTTTCCAATATTGACTTAAAAGTTGTGGATGGGTCAGTTAGACTTTAGCATGGAGAAAATACACTAACCAGCTACGCTTGCACAGAGCAATACTGGGATGGGTTTGTTTCTGGGTTGTGAGAGTGAAAAAGGAGAGCCTGATTCTCCTCTGAGGGCCCAATCCATCCAATGCTCATTGTAGTCGATGGGAGTCTTTCCGTTGACATTATGATGCTCTGGACTAGGCCTATAGTGAACCAGGAGTAACACCACTGAAGTCAAGAGAGTTTTACTAGTGTGAATGGGGGGAAGACTCAAGCCTGTAGTTGGGGATTTTAACTAGTAGGACAGAGCAGGCTGATACATGTAGACGGAAGAGAAAGCATAAACTGATATACACTGCAACAGCTGGAATTTCTCTAGATATATGAGGAGAATGTGTGGGTTTAATCACGTACTTTGCTATTGTCATTCAAAATGTATCTAACACTTGTTCCTGGCCTCAGAAGAATAGCTCCTGTATTCTTGTGTACCAAAGTGTCATCCGCACCATGAGCTATTGTTCTCCTAATCCTGGTGCCTACCTGCATTTCATCTGTGAAAATCAGTGTTTACTGGCATCCCTGCTTCAGAGACTGCATCTTCCTTACATCTAACTACACCTAAACAGAAGTCTCCATTTGCCTAAACTGGCTCAGCCAAAATGGAAGGTGCCCACATATTTTGCCTCAATAATTAGACATTCATTAATAGTAATCATTTCACCCACGCTCCACCCAGCTTTTGCGCTATGTAATAAGCCAGTTGTATCTGGATCTAAGTATTATGGCCATTTAATCTGCGAGCATCAGCGTTCACATGCACTTGCACATCTTGTTCATGGCATTATGTCCTCATCTGGTGTAAAGCAGTGGAGCTCCATTGCAGTCAGGGGAGCAATTCTGATTTACACCAACTGAGGGTCTGGTCCAGTTTCTACGTGGACAAATAACATGTAATGTATTAAAAAAACCCTACCTCTACTGTATATTGTTAGTAACACAAGAGGTTTTCATAAGGGGAAGAGGCTGCAAATTGGATCATCTAAGAAAGATGCTCTCTACGTGGCACACTGAACTATCCAATGGATGCCTTAGCCATTCTTTCTAACTGAGTGCACTGAAAACACAGACCTTACAGGTGACCTGCAGTTAAATTTTTTTTTAATCTAAATGCTAAAAGCCACATTGTGAGCCTGCTCCTCCCACGGGTGAGCAGCTACTCTCAGTGAGACGCCTCATGGGAGTGAGTGAGCCCAGACTGGATAAAGGCTCCAGGCCAGAGCCTCAGCTTGTGGCAATTGTTGTAGTGCCACTCAAGTCAATGGAGTGATGACAATTTAATGCTGCTGAGGATCTGGCCCTCCATGTTTAAGGGATGTATTTTAGAATGCTGCTCCTTGGCTGCTGAAACTTTTCCTGGTTTATTTTAACACAAGAGGATGGACCACTACAACATTGCCAAAGGCAACAGCCAACAAGCTATATTTTTCCTTTAAATCGTGTTGGCTCTTTAATAATCTAACTATATTTTGAGAGGTTTGAGAGGCTACTCAATACTTTTTTCTTCCATTTCTTTTTCCTTTTCTTTTTTGAGTGTAGGTGTGTGTAATGTGGATCCACAGGCTGGGGAAATTTCCCCCCTCAAACTGTAGCTGGTCTAATGAGCAATATCAGAAATAAGCTAGAGAACAGATTTACAAACCAAGAAAGCTTTGCTGGAATGCAAAGGCACCATTGGCCCTCATTTTACGAAGCTAGCTAGGGCGTGCTCTAGTATTCTCTCTAATCTGCTGAGCTGAAGCCAAATACTAACTGCAGCTGTAGCCATAAATAGCTGCCTTGTCTATGCCAGCTGCCTAATCCTGATACACCGTATGCACAGCTGCTGCCTTAAATGAAGTAGGCACATCAGAAAGCATCAGTGTCTCCTACAGGATCAGCCATTCATATGGGTTGGGGCGGGCATGGGGTGAGGGGGAGAGAAGAAAAAAAAATGTAGTCCCCTGGGGGAAGCTCTTGCTTCTGATTCCTACTCTGTCACGTTATTAGAGTGTGCATTGCCTCTTCAGGTGTGCTTATTCTATTGTCTGCCCTGGTGTGACACAGAGCCAGAAAGGATTACACAGCTAGCAGGCTAATTGATCCAGATTCAACCTTTAGAGGTAGATAGATAGATAGATAGATAATGGTTGTGTTTTTTGTGTATTTACATATATATTGTTAACCTCTAACAATGTAACCAAACAGTTCCTGTCTATCCTGTATTCTGTTAATTCAGAGATCAAAGGAAGATGTTAACATTTAAATGAATTGTATATGTAGTAATATCGCTGTCTGACTTTCTCTTTGAAGTTTGCGATAAATCACATGTAAATGGCTGGAGATAGGCAATTGCCTTATGTTAATCCATGTAGCTAATTAATGGTGATGTTTAGGAAATAGGAGGTTACTTCAAAGACACTATAGTTCACCCAAGGACTGACAAGAGGCTTCCCCGGGAACATTATAAAGGTCTCTTGGGACCTGATCCTTTCATCTCAAATCTGCTTATGCTTCATCAGAGGAAGCTTAAGCCACAAGATTGATGTCTTCAGTTTCATTCTGGATGACCCTGATATTGAACATTGGACTGAACCTATGGACTAATTCTGAAAGAACTCTTTGCAACGCTAAAGCTCCCCAGTTCTACTATGAAACTGATCTAAGTTCATCTCTGTATGTATAATGATCTTTTAACCAATACTCTCTTTTTTAATAAATTTTACTGTAGTTAATAAGAATTGGCTGTAAGTGTGTATTTGGGTAAGATCTGAAATATTCATTAACCTGGTGGGTAATGTGTCTGATCCTTTGGGATTGGTAAAACTTTTTTATACGATGAACAAGATTTTCAGTAATCCTCATCATATTTGACTTGGCTGTCTGGGTGAAAGCCCAAGACTGGGTTGCTTTAAGGGAACTGTGTTGTTGGCTTCTGGGTAACCAGTAAGGTATTGTAGAAGCTGTTTTGTTGCTGGCTTCGTGAATCTAAGTATTAGAATAACCACCAGTCTTGGGGATTGGGTGCCCCATTCTTTGCAGTTCGCCCTAACTGAGCAATATCAGTGTGCCCCCCCCCCTTGGACCCCAGTCACATCTTGTATGTTTGGAGTGACCAATACTGAATTGTACAGAGGAAGAAACTGAAAGGACAGGATCTGGATCAAAGAATGGATGAACACTGAAACCGTTTCTTTAGAAAATGTAAAGCCCCCCCCCCCCCCCTGGTGTATTTGTCTCTGTTACCCAGGAGGACAGATTGCCTGAAGGAGGCAAATTAGAATGATGCACATAGCCATACTTACTGTCTTGGGTTTAGAAAATGAGAAGCTGGACAGCAAGTCCTCTTTGGTCAGCAAGAATTTACGATCTATGTTCTGCTTTATTCCTCCTGTAAAATACGCACAGTGTTAAATTCTTTATCAATTGTTTTTAGGTAATCCTAGTCAACTGATAAGGGTACATCAGACTCCAGCTACCTGCTGTGTCCACCCTTCCCATATACTTTGTCTTAAAGGACTATTGTCATGATGTGAACAGGTCCAGTCCTAGACCAAATGGCTCCCTAGGGGAGGAGCATCTTCGGCACCCTCTCCCCATCCACTTGTTAAACTTCTGAATACCTTATTTTTTATTGAATATATAGCCCATTTCATGACTTTGATGTACAATTTGCATGCATGATTTATCCCTGTCACAGAAGATGATAAATTTGCACTCTAGGATCTGTAAATCTGTATTTATTCATGCCATATATAAGCAAGTCTGGAAGGTTCCACAAGATTTTACAAAGGTCCAGAACATTCTAGAAGGATAGTGAAAAATGAATCCACGTATGGAACACCTGAAACATTTTACTTCAAACATTCTATTTTCCCTTTTGGTTACTAACAACACAAACAGCATCCTGAGCCCGGCGCCACCAAGCCCAGTACCCCAAGCAGTCGCCTGAGTCACATGCCCCTAAATCCAGCCCTGGATGTGAAGCATTGTGGAGGAAGTGGGGGAAGGAAAATGAGATAGCTCCTGGGAGCTCCAGAAAGAGTCTGAGGAATTCTAGAGTAAAGAAAACAACGACGATGTGCCTTACTCTCCTCTGCTTCTACGTGCAGTAAGTCTAATGGAAACCATCCTGTTCACTGTGTTCTAGTATGTGTGGCCTAAATGGTGAGCTGAGGATGCAGGGTTCAGGTCTAGATTAGTTTTAGGTTAGGAGTTAGATTGAATCAGGTCTAGGATCCAACTGCTCTCGCTGGCATAAAATGGTGGAAATGTTGAGAGATCAGCTGCACTTTTGTTTTGTTTTTTCACCCGCATCCAATTTGGATGATAGCCTCATTTTGGATTTTGCCTGGAACCAAAACCAGAGGGTTGGGTCGGGATCTCGGGGTTCAGATCCCAACTGTCATGCCTACTCTTATGGTCTTAGTAATTTGCAGCAATCTATTTCACTAGAATTTTCCTTGGGCAGTTGACATGGCTTTACACCATGAATCCTTCCTTGGGTGCATGGCTTGGCACTTAGTGAAAATGGCCACTGGGCATGTTCAGTAAGCATATTTCAAATGCTTTGAACTCACTCAAAGCAAAACTACTATTAACCTCTGGGAGAAGGAAAGATGCTTCTCCTCAGACAGGGCTATCTCCATGCTGGATGGCAGCTCTTAAAACTCAGCCCCTTCTCAGGTTTAATGCACTGGGTAAATGGATTCTCCCCTCCACCCCAACCCCAACCCCATCTCCTCAGGTTCAAAAACTGCTGATGTTACTATCTCACAATTCAAAGGAGAAAGCAATGCCCCCTTTGGACAGAGACCATGTCTGGAAAATTTCAGGCCAAAAGATAAAGGTTCTAGAAAGCTGTGAGTGAATGAAACCAGAGAGTGCAAGCTCAACCAGAGCGGTCACTGAAACTTCTCGTGATAGGGACGGTTCCATGTGTATGCACGTTAATGTGGAAAACAGCGTATACTTGTGTTAAACCAAAACTCTGGAAAAGGTACCTGTTAAGAGGCTGACAATCATTCCCAAAGCTATTGTGACCAGGGTCCCAAGTGTGCTGAAGTACAGATACGACAAGGAATACCAATAATCAGCCAGGACAGGTCTAGGAAAAGTGGGGGAAACATTTTGTTAGAGTCTTCTTCAAAATTCAGACAACCTGAAAATGCGTAAAACTAGGAACTAAGAGAGTAAATATAAGAAACGTTCTGTGCTAAAAAAATAATGAGTCACATGGTACTCTCCTGCAGAGAAACCCACCTGGCACTCAAACTCTGAGGTAAAACTGGCAGCCTCAGGCCAGTATGGTGGGCAAATGGGCCATGGCCAGTAAAACCACATGAGCCCATGCCTCCACTAGGAATTCTGGCCAGAACTGAAGAGTCTAGCCATGAGTCTTTTCTTTGGAGAGGCTACGGAGCACTGGAAGCTCCCTAGAAATGGGAGGGGGGCACTAGCACCCAGACCGTGGCCCCGTCCCCACTTGGCCTCTTCGCCCCAGGCCCGGCCCTCACTCTCCTACACTCTGCCGAGGGGTGCCTCACTGCCCCTCCCCACTCCTCCGGCTCCTTACTGCCCCTAACCCCTCTTCACCTGGGCTCCTCACTGCCCCCTCCCCAAGGCTCAGTGTTGTCCCACCACGCCCCTCAGGGCTCAGTCCCATCCATTCCACCCACTCACCCCGTGAGGCCCTGGGAGGAGAAGGGGAGAGGCCCATGCTGTAGCTGAGGGAGGCAGGGCGGCTCAGGGGTGTGGCTGCCCAGGGTTAAGCCGAAGCTGGCCCTCAGGAGGCAGGCGCTCCAGGGCCACTGCTGCTTCCCCTTGCAGCATGGATGGTGGCATGGCTCATTCGGTTCCCACCGCCGAGGGACACCGGGCTCCAACCGAGGCAGGGAAGCGCTGCCTAGTTTTCTCCACGCAACACCAATGGAGTGCCAGCCCTGTGGCTCTCTTGCAGGGGGGTGGGAGGAAGGGTGTCCATTGTGTCTTAGGCATGGACTGTGCCATCACTTCTGCAGATCTCTTATTAATGATGGTGCTGTGCACTAAATCTCAGTTAACCTGAGTCCAGTCAACTAGGTTTCAGCTCTCTCTGCTTTCGGGGCTTTGTGCTATAAAGCAGCAGCAACAAACCACTATTACGATCCCCTTTGCAACATGCCACAGAGAGAAGCACGTGGACCAACGTCTTTAAGTATGTATGTACACCTCTACCCCGATATAACGCGACCCAATATAACACGAATTCGGATATAATGCAGTAAAGCAGCGCTCCGGGGGGGTGGGGCTGCGCGCTCCGGTGGATCAAAGCAAGTTCAATATAACGCGGTTTCACCTATAACGTGGTAAGATTTTTTGGCTCCCGAAGACAGCGTTATATCGGGGTAGAGGTGTATTTTTTCTGATAGCCATAGAAACATGACTGCCTAGCGCCTGCTTGGCATTTAAATTTACACTGATGACAATTTAAAGTTGCTGAAACTGAAACTTTGTTTTTCATTTTAGAAATGGTAACAAATTATCCACTGTTAACTCTAAGCAGTTGCTTGAAGCAGAACAGATATACTGCAGAACCTACTAAACGCAAGTGCTTTGGGGTCTAAAATTTGTTTGATCTTATATATAACATCCCACTTGCCATGCTGTTGAATCAGTACATAGACACAGGCACACGGGAGCAGTGATCCATCAAATCAGGTATCCAGCTACTTCAGGGGAAGGCCCAGGAATCTCACAATTCACCTAACCATGCAATACTACACCAGCTAAGGGGAACGTTTTCCCTAAGGATAGCCAGCTGCTGACCCAGTTATGTCCGGAGACATAAGAATGGACTGCCCTTAGAATTTTTAATCTAGCCATTGTCTTTTAATCTAATTTAATCGAGCTGCTACTCCTTGTTCTGATATTTATATCATTGTTTTGTTCTTTGGGGGAGGAGGGTTGTTTTGTTTTGACTGTATGACACAATACAATGTAAGACAATATGACAATCGCAGAGGAAAAAGACCCCAGCATTTCACCCAGTTGCACTTGACTCTTATGGTTTTGCAGAATGTGGCTAGTTACTTCCGCATAGATATGATGCTGTTGGATAAACTTTTGGTGGAAGATTCACTGAAAACTCTTAATCACCCTCAAGGTTTAACCTGCTTAGATAGTAAAACTGTATGAAATAAACACAAGTCCCCTTTGCCTATCCACACTGCAGAAACAAAACTACTTCCCAATAAGGCACATGCGACTGTAGAACTCTATAGTACTGATCCAACACCCCCTGACTTCCAGGGGTTTCGATAAGCACCCCCAGTAGGAGAAAACACAAAATGCTGCTCCCTTTTAATTAATCAGGTAACCAAAAGAGTGAAGATTTTTATAACAATCCAACTATTACACAGATGGTCACATCACTTTCAGTCAAGCGCCGGTGCAACATGTGGCCGATTTGTTATATACCTTTCAGTGCCTTGCAGGTGTACAAGGGTTGTTAAAGTTGGCATTTCGGTTGTTGCAGTCCAGTTGCCTCCTGTTCCTGGACTGCCTATGTCACAGCCGATAGTTGTGAGATTTAATGACATAGTTCTCTCAGGGAGCGGAGGGTAAATCTGAGCCCCAATGCCAACCCAGAGTGAAACAGTAAAGCCCCCAATAAGCCCTACAAATGCACCCTGTAAAACAAAGTAAAATCGGATTGAAATGTAAAGCAAAAAAACCAAGAGGGTTGACAAAGAAAAACACTGTCAAGATTTTTCAGAACTGGGTGGCCTACTTTTCAAACATGACTTAAATGGGAGCTGTTGGAGGGTGCTCAACACTTGAAAACCAGGCCACTTAATTAGATGGCTAAGTATGGGCTTGAGTCTAACTTTAGGCACTAAGGTCTGAAATTCTTGGCCCGTAATTTTTTTAAACAACAGATATCAGGTAGAAACTATGAAGGCAGAAGCTTTTTTTTGAGATTTTATTCTATTTTATTTGAATAAGCTATCCTAACACCTTGGAATAGGTACACAAAATTCACAATGTATGTGTTTCCCCCCCCAGTATTCTGTCTGCAATGGGAGGAATTTCTTTAGAGCAAACACTTTTACCTTTTCTAAAGATAGGAACTCTCTTCAAGATCTGAACAATGAATTAAACTCTGCTTTAGCTGCAGCCAGTTATAATAGAAATCCTGGCTGCTAGAGCCTATACACTACCATTCCTACCTCTTTTAAAACCAGTCTCAATTTTTTTTAAAATGTCCCCAGCATAGACAAGGACTAACTGAGAATTTAATTGGGAATTAAGTACTGTGTAGACCTTGCCCTGGCTCTCTGAACAAGGATGAATCTCACTCATAATTCATTGCAGTCCACAGAGATACTCCAAATACAAAAGTTAACAATGTTTGATTTAAATTCTTATCAACTATGATGTTGTGCAGTATCTCTCAGCTCACAAGTGTCCAGAGGACTAAGTTTCACTTCTCTCCTGCTCTCAAGGCTTCTTGCTACAGACACCAAAATGTTAGACTTTATGAACTCTGGAGAACACCTCCGTTATTAGGGTGTCATAATTAAGGAATGCCTTGTGAAATTCAGTTTGATTCACAGATAATATTTACCTTGGCCTCAGATCTAAGGGTGTGTGTGTGTGTGTGTGTGTTTTAGATGATGGTGACCAAAATCAGGCATATAATGGAAATTCAATTTGCGACCATATTTATGGAGTGAATGTTGTCACACCACAAAGTAACAACATACTGCCCTATTTAGGCTGTTTACAGCACAGCAGTACTGATTCTGCAGCATTGTACAAAGACAAATCATTGCTTTAGCCACAGGGAACAAGGAGAAAATAAGTGATTGGTGAATCTTGCCATTTTTAACAATATTTTTTCAGATTAAACTACTGGCCTTATTGCCTAACTATTGGGGTATGGGGATGTGGGGGGTGAGGAGGTATGTATGAAAAATGCCAATCTAAAACATCTCCCATGATGCCTAAAACAAATTATTGGGGGGGGAGGGAAATGATCCCCCAAATGACTACTGTATTTTGCAACAGCAAGACACACAACTTATACTTACGATGGGGTTTGCGAAGGAGAAGAGGATTCCCAAAGAAAACAGTCCTAGAAGAGGGCCACCAACCATGCCAAAAATACTGAGAGCTGCCTGAGGAAGAAAACAAAGTCTTATATCAAGTATCACACAGCAAAGCCAAAACCTGCAACATGATGCCATGGGGGTGGGGAAGGAAATGAAATATCTGCAATCAGGATTTCAAGTTGGCTCTGGGCCAGATCCTCAGCTGGTGTAAACTGGTGTCACTCCCTTGTTGAATTATCTCAAATTACACCAGTTGAGGATTTAGTCCTAGAATTTCCAAGGTAAATACTCATTAAAGGATGAAAATTAATCACTTTCTAATAGCCAGTGATTGTTCTTTTCCATAGTTCCTTCTAGTTAATGAAACAGAGGTGAAAAGCAGTTAAACATGCACCTGTAACAAGCTGCCCAGAAGGGATGCCACACCAGCCATGGCAATACACACTCCTCCATAAAAAAGACCTGAATGGGTGAGAAAGACAAATGTATCAATTTAAATCTCCACAGTGAAGTTTCCTTCTAGTCTAATACTACTACTAATAAAGCCAAAAATACATGGCAGCCAGGATCGTCTTTGAGAACCAACAAAAGGTCATGTGCTCTGTTACCTCAGGAGGGGACCGTGCAAACATGACAAATCCTTTTACAACGTGTGATCACTGAAGATTAGTTGAAAGATTAATTCTTAAAAAGAAGTTGGGATGAGTAGTGGGGATATTAAGCACATCAAGAATCACTTACATTCCTCCTCTAACCCTCTGTGCCAACACTTTGTACTTGAAGAACGGATTTTCCTTCCCACTTGAGTTATGTTCCAGTGAAAACACTTTTAGATTATTGGAGTTCCATGGCTAGGAATTTCCCATACAGCCAGGATATAGACAGCCTAAGCAAATGAAGTCTCTTCTTCCCAGGGTCCCTAATGCTGGATGAGCACTTTAGTTACCATCCACCACTCACAAAGCTCTAATTTACTGCTACATGGGGACACATTAATCCCAGTGCTTTATATGAGAGGTCAGGCAATTATCAGAGTTCAGACCTGTGAGCCTCCATTCCCATAGCAAACAAAAGCTGGCATCAAAAGTAGTTAATAATGCTTAAGAAACCACGTTCTCGGGTGACAATGCTGTTGTAACACTCCTCACGGCTCTGGTATGCTCACTGGCAGGGCGTGTTCTCTTGCTCGGAAATACAGTGAAGTACTTGGCTGTACTCTTCTATCCCTTACTAAGCTTATTACAGTAAAAGAGACGTGTTAATTTTTCCCAGCAAACTACCTGGGGCACTGTGGGCCATATCTTCTGCTGATGCTAATTGATGTAGCTAGCAAAGAAATCAATGGAGCATCACAGATTTAAACCAACTGAGGATCTGGTCCTGTATGTTCAACTCAAAATTCTGAGACTGGCTGCTTGAGGGCATTAAACAGATTGAGGGCTTTAGGGTGTATCGTAGCGGTCGTGAAGCCTCACATTTTCTAGAAGGAGAGTGTGATGCAGTACATTTCCCCACCCATGTACCCTACCAAATAATTCCATGTTCAAGAGACTTGTTACAAAATTCCATCCCATGCACCTGCCTTCTGACTGACGGAATGAAAAATAACACCTATTTCAACCCAAGCCCTTTGGGTCTTTTGTATTAGGAATCTAGATTGAACAAGGCTACAATATAACTTTACTGCTTAAAGATCAAACAAGATGCCCTTTTCCATGTTCACTTTAAATAGCTGCTCCCCTTCTCCCCCATATCTGAAAACTCTTGGCCTGATTCTGATCTCTCACAGGTTTCATACTGGTGTAATTCCATTGACTTTAATGAAGTTACTCCTGATTTACACCTTTATAAGTGAGATCTGAACCAAGCCCTCTTTCTTTATGGTAAAAGTGGAAAATATCCCTCACAAACTTACTCATCCCCTTGGAAATCCAAGATAGTTTCTTTTCAGAGAGGGAGCTGAAGTAAGGTTTAATGAGATCCTCAACAGTTACAGCCGCTAAAGCGTTGATGCTGGAGGACACTGTGCTGCAGATGACAAAATTTGAAACATTTTTGTATGTTAGGAACTGAGATTACAAACACTTAATAATCGAGATAACGGCAGAGAGAGACTGTCTGCAACAATATCAGGGATCTTATGTAGCTATAACTACTATACATGTTGAAATTATTATTACTAACCGAAATAAACTTGACAGCACTATCTGTTACATTTTGCAATTGTTTAAAATATTGGTTCTCAGAGAGGATAATGCATGTTTTAAGAAAAAGAAACAATCAGATAAATCAGTGGAAGGAAAATTAACATATATTGCTATAGATCAAAGGATGACTGGTATTTTAAAACCATTTTTGAATTCATTAATATGTATTGCATCCTTTGGGCTAGGTACATATACATCGCATGGCATTTCATTGACTATTTTGGATGCACTCTACAGACTCAGGCCAAAAAGCGGAGCCTAAAGCTAGGATCCTAAATCCATATTTAAATAAATGAGTTGGTTTTCAAAAGTCAGTAGGAACTGCTGGGTACCTGACACTTTTGAAAATCAGCTACTTTTTCAAGTGCCTCGATGTGGATTTAGGAGCCTAATTTTCAGTGCCTATTTCTGAAAAATCTTGGCCTAAATCTTAAAAATGGCATGCCTGTATTGTGGCTGGAAAATGAGTATGCCCTGGCGCAGACCACAGCACACAAAATACGCCTCTCCACACATTCAATGGTTAATTATGAGCTCCAGTGAGCATTCGATAGACTCCGAGGGAACCACTTCTCCCAAACACTTGAAACATCAGCCCCTCTCTCCTGAGAGCAGATCTGGCTACTACGGAATAACTCTGAACCTCCCGGATCATATAGAATAGTATCAGACACATTTTCCTTACAGAGAAACATGCCACAATGCCTACTATTTCCCTTCTCTTTAATATTCCTGTGTCGCCACCAGTGGCCAACATCAGACAAGATTAACTAATTAACAGAATTCAAGTAGAACACCGGAGTTACAATAATAATTTGCACTTCTGCAACCTCTTCCATTTAAGGATTTTAAAGCACTTTACAAATATGAATTTATTAAGGTGAGAAAGTATTATTTTATTCTTCCCCATCTGGCTTCTTGTAGTGGCCCAGTCACTGTGCTTCTCAAGAAAGGCAAAATGCCAATCACCTACAATCCACAGATTGTGCAGTATCGGACATTTTTATACATTACTCTTGCAAGCAATCAGCTTGCACCTCAAAGTGTGAAAATGTATTGCCCTGATCATCGTATTTACTTACATATCTACAAATATTAAGAGTCAAAAAATTATTCAACCACGGCATTATACCAGTTGCTCTGGGTGTGATTGCTATGGATAAGGTTGTTAACAGTTTCCATTCTAACCCCTGATTTTTGAACGCTCAAGATTATCTAAAACGTTCACATTAAGGGCTGAAATTTTCTGTAATTGGTCGCTGCCAGAAAGTATACAACTTTGGAAAGCTGAAGCAAAAATCTTTTCAGTTGTTTTTCAATTATCAGAAGGCGGGAAATGCATTTTTTTACCACCACCATTTGAAACAAAACATTCTGACCATTTTCACAGGATTGACTCAAAACAGCTGTATTTCTTAATTCCAAACACTAGTTTGTAAATAGCCCTTAATGAGCAGAATGTGCTTCTTAAGTCGCAGGAAGAAGGGAGATGGCTTTAAAATACAGCTCTGAAGGTTTGAAAAAGGAAGGCTGAGCAGCAGAAAATTCCCATCAACTGCAGCTGCCGTTTCCCTATAGGATTTCAGGAATTTACAAGTGCAGCTAGTGAAGTAATAGCTTTGAAGCAAGGTGAGGCGGAGCTTGTACGTGCCATACTTTGCTCATGACAATGGAGTTTATAGCGCCAAGGCTCAGACTAGCCCAGTTGGTGGAGTTTGTTAACAGTGCAGACCAAATTGTTTCAATGCAAGGAAATTTGAAGCTCCACTGGTGAAGCCGGAAAGCTTTTAAGATGCACCCATTAAACAGCTTATAATTTTTCCCTGTTTAAAGAACAACAACAGGGAAATTAAATGCAAAGGATCTTGTGTAAATACAATTTATGCTCCAATGAGCATGCATAAAAACGGCCAACGTATGTCATTGAGTTCAGAATGATTATATTACCTTAATGTCCCACTGTAGGCGCTAGCCACGAAAAGTCCTGGTACCCCTGGAAAATCTCGTAGAATATCCAATACCAGATATGGCATGAGCTGAAAAAAATCATAGTGTGATGTTGCACTCTATATGATTTTATGAAAATACGCTAATGAGTTTGAATATAGTGTAACTGAAATATGCTTCATGCAAAAGGTCTCTTGTAAGGTATCATTACAAAGTTTATAATCTACTGAGTGTGATCGTATAAATGTACCACTCTTGTATCTGAAACTAGAAATATAAAATGTAACTCTGAGGGCCTATTGTAATTATGCAAAGTGTGGGCATTAATGGTGTTTGGAATCTTGATGGCTCCCATTAACCAGGACAAATGTCTGTAGATGGCTCTCTTTTACTTGTGAGTCTTCCTGTATAAGTGTGTGCTGGCAAGTGGGTAATGAAGTCTTACAGTGACATGTGATCATGTCACCTGAACTGGAATCCATCTTTAACCTAGTGCTTTTCCATTGAGAAGGGGGCAGTGGGGATGGGAACCCAGAGGGACAAAGGATTCCCGCCTTATGCAAAAGATATATAAGTGGGTGAAACAGAGAAAAGAGGGGCAGCCATCATGAGAAATCCCCTAGCTACCACCTGAGCTGGAACAAAGGCTGTACCAGGGGAAAGGATTGTGCCCAGACTAGGAAAGTGTCCAGTCTGTGAAATAAACTTATTAAAACATCTCTGAGGGTGAGATTTTATCTGTATTCAGTTTTATTACTGTATTAGGCTTAGATTTGCAAGTTTTATTTTATTTTACTTGGTAATTCACTTTGTTCTGTCTGTTACTACTTGGAACCACTTAAATCCTACTTTCTGTATTTAATAAAATCACTTTTTACTTATTAATTAACCCAGAGTATGTATTAATACCTGGGGCGGGGCAAACAGCTGTGCATATCTCTCTATCAGTGTTATAGAGGGTGAACAATTTATGAGTTTAGCCTGTATAAGCTTTATCCAGGGTAAAACGGATTTATTTGGGGTTTAGACCCCATTGGGAGTTGGGCATCTGAGTGTTAAAGACAGGAACACTTCTGTAAATTGCTTTCAGTTAAATCTGCAGCTTTGGGGCACGTGGTTCAGACCCTGGGTCTGTGTTGGAGCAGAATGGCGTGTCTGGTTCAACAAGACAGGGTGCTGGAGTCCCAGGCTGGCAGGGAAAAAAGGGGCAGAAGTAGTCTTGGCACATCGGTTGGCAGCCCCAAGGGGTTTTCTTTGATCCAACCCATCACACATAGATTGAGAAATATTATAATTTTACCTAATCTGTGTTCTTGCTTCTAAGGTATTGCTTTTATAATGTATCCACGCTTCATGCTGCCCAGTTATTCTAATTTTAAATGTTCTCTGTTTTACACTTTATTCAGATGGAAGGGACGAATACCTGACAAAGCCAAGAGGATGAAGCTGCCTTCATAGCACTATTCTCCTCGCTGCTCCCTTCGTCTAGCCCCAAGAGACCCACTGCCTTGGGCCATGACCTGGAGGCGGTGGGACTGAAGGATCTGCCACTTCCTTTAAAATCTTCCCTCCCTGCCTCTTTGTAGTGATTCCCTGCCTCAGTCATGCTGATTCACTGAATGCCAACTGAGGTGCTTTCCCCCCACCTCCAGACTGGGGCACATCCTCTGAATGGGGATTCAGAGGATTGATGGGGGTAGGCTCAGTGATTGATGGGGGCAGAGAAGGCAGAGGCATGGAGCCTCCATGCAGACCACCCTTGTCTCTCTGCATCTCTCTTGAGCCATGTGGATCTCAGGGGGAAGAGAGAGACATAGGTTTTGGGTCCCTTGGTTGTAGCACAGGAGAGCAACCTCCACCCTCCCCCAAAAAGGAAAATGATCTAGTTTCCTATATAGGGTTGTCATATTTGGTCTTCCTTGTCCTATGTATCACTAGGGAATAAGAGGATTTCTGGTTTCTTATTTTATTAACCCTGTCCTCCCTTACTGCAGATAAAATACACTCCTGGGTTTCAAGTGTCCCAAAATGTTCCTTAATGTATCTTTCCAAAGGGACAGAGCCTGAGAGCACCCATGACACTGGAGATGTGTGTGCTCAGCCTCATACCTTGGGAACAGCCCCTAAAGGCAGCAATCTTAATTCATCCCCAACTATTAAACCATTGAGATGTTTAGTGTTAAACCTGGTCTGGTGCTGACACCCGCTTTGCTGTCCATGGGTCGCAATCGTGATATATGGAGTACATTGCTAGTCCGCAAAACATTGCACAGACAAGAATCGCCCAGAGTCCCAAGAGGTTGATATAGAGAGATCTGCACAAACATGAAAGGAAACAACAATGTTAAAGAGTTAGCCATAGCACTGTATTGTGATGTTGCTAAAGATGAACATGTCCTACTGTACCTGTATTCACTTCCTCATTGGCAGCCAAAAACAAAAAAGAGAAACCTTGTTAACTGAACACTTCTTAGTCTAGTTCCAGACGGTGGTCTGTCTGGCTACCCTTTAAAGCAGTGCAAAGCCACTAACTCCCAGCAACACACAGAACTGTTGTAAAACATGACAAGCCACAGAGTAATTCATAGACTAGGAGCCACACTGTGAGCCCCTTCCTGACCTAACAAAGCCAGCACACCTTGGAAGGCTGCCATAGTGCATGCCCTTCTCCTGCTGACTTGGCATGGAGTCCCTCAGAGCTGTTGCTTCTAGGAGGAAGTGGACTGAACACAGACTGTGAGCTTCCTGTCTTAGTGCCTAGGTAATCTTGGAGACTGATGTAGTAAACTGACCCCATCTCCTGACAGCACTAGCCCAAAAAGGCTCCAGCTTCAAGCATGAATGCAACCTCTGCTACCCTAGGTCTTCATTCACTATTGGCTATTCAAAATGCTCCAGTCTTCTTGTCCACTTTGGCTTCCTTCTCTACAGAGGTGGAGCTCCTGCAGATTATTGGAGGTGTCTAGGTACTTCTAGCTCTAGACTGGTCCTAGTTTCATGAAGTTAATTACCCTCTGGCTTATCTTCGGTGCCCTACTGCAACCCACAAGCAGTATGTTCTTCAACAACATGGTTCTTTCCCTGTATTTCCATAAGATTAATTGTATTCCAATCAGCAGCCATTTTGTTGCCTGATGCCCATTAATTGCCACTGAGGCCCTACTTCTGTGCCAAGCAATCAGAGCTGCATTGGTACCTCCAGTATCTAAGCAAGTGTATCAGCATTTAGGGTGCTTAGGAGGCCGTTCAGTGCTTCCAGTGCCTGCGAAAGTGCACCAACCCCTGGGTTACTTTAGAAGGTTAATCGGGTTATGTGCAGGAGAGTAGCTCTGCTCTTGAAGATCTTAATGGGGATGGAAATGAATGTTATTGGGTGCACTGGTGTAATATAACTGAGCCTGCAGCCTGGTGTACTTCGTAAAGCTCATCAGCACAAGAGACAACCTGACTTAAATCAAGTGTCTGATAACAAAACCCGGGCATGTTACAGCTGATTGGGTGACCCCACTGCCAGAGGTCAGATTTGGGCCTTGTCTAAACATGTAAATTGCAAAGCTTTAGCTAAATCTGTTTCTAGACTAATTTAGTTAAAATAATCCAACCCTGTGTTATGGACCCTCTCATATAGGGTTGAGTGTGTTTTATATCAGTTTACCATAACCTGATTCCTTATCAATATAAGCTAAACTGAGATAAGGCACTCTTAGACTGATTGAAGATGGACATGCAGAAGAATTTTGTTAAATTAGTACAGGGATCGGAAACCTTTGGCACGTGGCCCGCCAGGGTAAGCACCCTGGTGGGCCGGGCCAGTTTGTTTACCTGCCACATCTGCAGGTTCAGCCAATCGTGGCTCCCACTGGCCGCGGTTCACCACTCCAGGCCAATGGGGGCTGCGGGAAGCGGCGCAGTCCGAGGCATGTGCTGGCCGCCACTTCCCGCAGCCCACATTGCCAATCCCTGAATTAGTGCAACTCTCATGGGTAGACAAGGCTTTAAGTAGCATGTTTTAGCCTAGGCCACTATAGTTAAAAATTAAACAAAATTGCTATCAATTGAGTGATTAAAGGCAGAAAAGTATGACCATGCCCCGATTACCCACAGCATTTTCAAATCTTGTTTTTAAACCATGTTGGTGGCTGGGTGTCAAATGACAATCAATGTTTGTCCTGACTTAAATCCTAGTTCAGAGTGGCACTCTATGGGTACGTCTACACTACGAGATTAATTCGAATTTAGATAATTCGAATTTGGGAAACAGATTGTATAAATTCGATTGTGCGCGGCCACACTAAGCACATTAATTCGTTTTTTAACCACATTAATTCAGTGGTGTGCGGCCACACTACCCCATTAATTTTAACCACATTAATTCGGTGGTGTGCGGCCACACTACCCCTAATTCGAATTAACAAAATCGATTTTGGTGCTACTCCGCTCATCGGGGTGGAGTACAGAAATCGATTTTAAGTGCCCTTTAATTCGAAGTAACTGGCTCCGTTGTGTGGACGGGTTAAGGATTAATTCGGATTAACGCAGCTAAATCCGAATTAAAGTCGTAGTGTAGGACTTAAGAAATGAGTTGTTCCCACTAATTCTGAATGAGTAATGCTGGGTGGAATACTCTTCTGCAAAGCTGGCATTGTGTCTGGGCAGACTATGCAAGTCTTTCTTTTTAATAAGAATTTAAGATTTCAACATTCAAACCATTGTGTGGTGCCTTTGAAGAGTTCTTTGAAGCCAGGAATTGGTAAGGGGAAAATAAGAGGTAATAAACTAGTAGGCTGATGAGTCAATATCACACCTGCATTTATCTGAAATGTGTGATTCTTCCACTTTAAACACCTGTACTTCTTTTAAGTGAATATGTCGTTGTTCAAATACAAGAATCTAAGTTGCTTGGTTGTGCTTTCTAGTCACAAAACTACAGATGCATATCTTGGGTGGGGTGAGATCCTTTCTGAGACAGTCAAGAATCCTGAGATACTTTTCTCAACCCATAGTTTCATGCATTACCAGAAGGCATGGGTTAGGACCTGTGAATTCATTCACTCTGTGAGCCCAGTTCATTATTGTACTGTACCTTGTAAATCCTTTACATCAGTGTATTGTGAGTGTAAATTGTTACCATTCTGATGTGATAGCATTTTACATCTACTGTGCACTGGTGTAAATGACTACAAAAGGAGCAGGGCATTAGTGACTCTTGTTGTGGGTGTTTTCAGGTTCTTGCAAAAGAAACTAGGCAGCTGTTGTATTGCCAGCGTTTACACCTGTGTGGACATGCAGTGTTTATGCTGAAAATTATCCATGCCTCAGGAAATGACCATATTCTCAGGCACAGATAGGGTGGCTAGCAGCTTATGTGCCTGGAAACTCAATTGCCCTCATCTGGAGGAAAGCTGGCAGAAGGGGGCTAAATAAAGAGCTCTCCATGAGGTTTTCCTTGCAGAGATTTCCAGAAGTGCTCCCCAATAAGGGCAGGGGTCTCCCATTAATATGGAAAGGCTTCAAGGCTCACGCAGAGATTCCTGGGAGGCTAGGGCCTTCCACGTGGAACCGCTGTATCTTCACAGCAGCTCTGGCCATGTGACTCCAACGGTGCCACACTCCCAGACTCCTCTGGTCACAACTGAACTGCTTCCAGGATGCCTTTAAAGGATCCCATTGCAACCCCATTGGGGGGGTGCAAACAAGTAATATAACTTCAGATAGGGATGCTTGGAAGAGTCAACATCAATGACATGCAATACAGGCATGACGCATGAAGCTCTTTCCCATACGTGAGCAATCCATTATAGAAGTGAGATGCGCCTTCTGTCTGTGTAAAGGCTGACCTTCTGAACAAAGCAGCATGACCAAGGAAGAGGCTTTGGAGACACAATGATGATGCATATCAACTCATTCCTGACATAAATATGACTGACTACAAAACTAGCTTTTCTCACTGCGTTAGCCTTAAACATTTTAATTCTAAAAATATAGCTCTCACCAGGAGGGGAAAGAAAATTGTTTCAATTATTTTGCCCACATTTTTAAAATATTAAACCTCCAAAATACTGTCCCTTCCTATACCTTATGGCATTGTATTATGGGGAATGCATTTTTATTTTTCATACATTTCTCACATAAGTAAATCTCTAGAGAAAGCTTACTGATCGCCAGTATCCAGCTGCTTACAGCTTCAGGACAGGTCACTAACTATTCTGAAAACAAAGAACGTGATTCTTCAGCAATTTTATCATTGGACAATCAATTTCAGTAGCTTTATGATTGAATCCTTTAATATTTATTCTGGTACAACTCCCATTCACTGATTTAAGTTTAATATAAGAACAGGAGTGCTTGTGGCACCTTAGAGACTAACAAATTTATTTGAGCATAAGCTTTCGTGGGCTACAGCCCACTTCTTCAGATGCATAGAATGGAACATATATTGAGGAGATATATATACACACATACGGAGAGCATGAAAAGGTGGGAGTTGTCTTACCAACTCTGAGAGGCCAATTAAGTAAGAGAAAAAACCTTTTGAAGTGATAATCAAGATAGCCCAGTACAGACATAAGTTTAATATAGTACCAAGCCAGGATCTGGTGTTATTAGACGCTTTGCACAAATAACAACTATACAATTTGGTCTCTAGGTTGCAAATGAACTTAATACAACTATTTGTGTGCATGAACACCAGCATCATAAAACAGTTGGGCACATAACTTATAAATCCTGGCATTTATTCTTCCAATTTGCTTTTGTCCTTGTTCACAAAGCAGAAAGTACAGGTTGTTACTACCTTTCATGAACACGTTTTATATAAATTTAAAGCATTCATTTAAAAATCTCCCTTTATGAAGAACAAATAGTGACTAAAGGCAGGCACTGAAGAATTACATTTACCGCATGCAGGCTTACAATTTTGCTTGGAAACTTGTTTTGCAGGCAATGTATCTCTGAACTTGAGATTGGTTGACCCCGTATATGCCAGTCCAGGTGAAGGTCCCACCTATGATAATTGTCCAGAAGGTATGTCTTTGCAAGGGGTTGGGATTAAAGCTAAATGGGAGAAAAAAATAACAGACTCAGAATATGGACAAAAATGGTGCTTCTCTCTCTGCCCCAGTAGAGTTAATTCAATTGTAAACCCGTGTGGATGCAGTTTAATACCTTTAAGATTGTTTAAGCTGGTCATGTTTTAGCCTAAGTATTTACAAACTTACTCCCAGAAGTTTAATCTTCCTCCATGGTAGGAATCGTTTAGAATGCGTCCGATTCCCTCTTGAACCACCACAGCACGTATAATTACAGATGAAAATCCAGCTACCATGATTCCAACCTGGAACACATCTGTCCAGACTACTGCCTTTAGACCACCCTGCGTGAGGAAAAGCACATTCAATGTATAGTAGAAGCATGAAATTAAGATGCAATTATAAATTTAGCAAGTTCAAATTTATGGGCCAGCTCATCCCCACCTGCGGAAAATCCCCTGGGAAGGGCAGGGTGAGGTGATCTGTTTCTCTGAGCCCCAAACACTCCTGCCCCCAGCCTGGCCAGTCTCTACCTGGGAGAGTAGAGAACAGTGCTACTGAGATGACCACAGCCCTTTCCACGTGGGAGTGGGCAGATCCATAGGCAGAATGTGTTTTCCATATGCAATTTGGAGCAGGGGAGAGGATGACCTGGCCCTCTGTCTTCATTCAAGTTTAAACTCAATATTTGTATGCTACAGTTCTGTATTTTAACTAAGCAGTTAAAAGAAGAGGGGTTCTTTAAAATGAACTGCCAACGTACCAGTGTGCAATAGAATGTACAGACTATTCCAGTTGCGATCACTGCACCCCACAAGTCAAATCCTGTGACTGAAAAAGAGGGAAAATGTACAACTGCAAAGACTGTTTTTGAAAAAAAGTAAATCCCTTAACATTCAAACAGATTTATTGGTTGGTCTGATTGCCTGAAAAAAAAAAGATTAGAACTATTTTAAATGGAAAAGTAGAAAATAATAACAATAGCACTGAAATGATTTGTGCACTAAAACCAAGTGACTTTGACAGACTAAGAATATAACCAGCTCATAACAACAGTTGTGATAGACTTTACAAACTGCTGAGCAATTAGAAATATTTTTGCATCTAAGGACTAATTTCCCTTTAATTAAAATTTTAACAACTAAGACTATATCCCAACGTTTCAAGCCCATGAGTTATCTCATTGACTTCAACACAATGGGATTTGTGCAGGTAGACAGTAAGGGAGTCCCATTCAAGTCAGGGTAACTGAGAGTTGAATTTGTCCCCAAGTCTTCAATCTCTTATAAAATCTGTCACAACTACCGGACCAATGCTGAAGTCTTCATTTAGGCAAAAAGTCAACAGGAGCTTAGGAAGACTTCTTAATTGGGCCCATAGTTACTTATGTTGATGTCTGTCTTAAAAACTTAATAGTTTTATGTATTGAAAAAAAAAATAAAACAAACTACCTTGTAAAATGTAAAATAATTAGCATATTTTCCTTTTACCTTGATTCAGTGCCAGAGCTGGAGCATAAATAACAATTCCAGTGTATAAAATCTAAGGAGGATAAAAGAAATACTAAATCAAATGAAAAGTAACTTGTTCTATACCTACTTAAACTAATTCACTTATAGTACACATAGGGAAATGTATCTATAGGTATACATAGAGTCTATATCACCAGTACTGTGCAGTATTAAGTAATAATTCCTATCATTTATAAGGAAAAAGTCAGAGGCTACCTAGTATTGCATTCTTCACGGTACACTGTTCCTAAAATGAACACTACTGTACAATGGCTCTTAAATACCCAGGCCCTCTTCAACTTTTCCTGGCTTTTCTACAAAGTATCATATTGTTTAAAAAATGCAGTCATCACATACAAATGCCATACTGCAGAAACCTGCGGAAAGAGGAAAAAATGCTGAGGCAGGCAAGTACTTTGCCAAGAAATCTCTTGCAATGTTAATGGCACTCAATATGCAAATATAACTCAGATTAACCGGGACTAGAGCTATGCCATTAGTCATTCCGGTGAAGTAATTAGGGTTTACAGCCACTGTACGCTGCTGATATTGGAGAATGACATGCACATACAGGGTTGTGAGCAGGTCTGATTTTGCATCCCTCACCGGAAAGAGATATAGACAAACAAATCTTTTCCCTTATGATTATTATCATAATGGGACACTCAGTACTGATACCACCTATAGTAGTTTGATTTATTTCTTTTTAAATCCTGTTTGCCTTTTAACTGTTGGGTCAAATTCAGCCTTGGTCTTAGAGTCACGGAGTATAAGACCACAAGGACCACTAGATCACCTAGTCTGACCTCCTGTATATCACAGGCCACCAACAGCACTCAGAACCTGCACACTAAACCCAACCACTGAGATTAGACCAAGGTATTACAGCCCACAAGAGACTAGACTGTGATGTGCCACAAGCAGAGAATAGGAGGGACCCAGGTGCACCAGTGCCTGAGGCCCCCATAATGGCAGAGAAATTAGTAAGTGAGATCTACCCAGATAATCCAGGCAAGTGACCTGTACCCATATGCTGCAGAGGAAGACAAAAAACAAAACAAAAACAAAAACAAAAGGTCACTGCCCATCTGACCTGGGGAAAAATCCCTTCTCAACCCCACATATGGCAATCAATTATACCCTGAGCATGTGAGCAAGAACCAGCCAGCCAATCACCTGCGAGGGAAAACACTTGGTGCCACCTCAGAGCCCTAGCCATCCCCATCCAATGTCTCATCTGCAGCCATAGTCACCCCTGCTGCTTCAGAGGAAGGAGATTTTTCAAAAAAAAAACACAACCCTCCAGCTGTCAGCTTGGTGTAACTCCACAAGGCCAAACACAGAGATGTAGCTTGGAATAAACAGGTGCAACTTCCATGGAAGTCTCTGGACCAAATTCAACAACAACATCAGCAGTGGGGTAAGTTACACATTGAGGAGTTGATTCTGCATTCATTTACACCTATTTTATGGGATTTAAATCTACTGACTTCAGCTAAGTTCCTCCTGATTTACACTGGTGTGAGATCAGACTCTGACTCATGTGTAAGTGGTAAAGTATAATAACCTGCAGTTACTTGGAATTCAGCAAATGTGCAAACTTACACGTATAACATACACTCCCTCCTACAGTCCTCTTGGCCTGTAACACAACAAGCAACTAACAAAGGGGAAAATAAAGCCACTCCCCGGCTCCTTTAACTTGTACCATCGTATATCCAGCCTCCAGTGGTTTATACCGATAATATTCTTATTGACCTTGGTGGGGACAGCACCTTGTTAAACCATCAGCTGAATTTGCTCTTTCCCCACAGAATTCCAAACTGGTACCATTTACAACTGTTTTGTGTACTTTGGGCCAGATTTTTGGCCCAGATAAGGCTGCTTCACACTGTTCCAGTAGCACAAAGAAGTCATAAACTCAGCTAAAACAGGGCTGCAGAGGATTCCCCCTATGTTGGGGAATCCTCTGGTGACCATAGGGCTGCCATAGCAACTCCTATGCCATCCCCTTTCCACTGTCACCTCCACCAGTGCCCCCTTCTCCTGGTGAAAGGGGGCCTGGTCAGGGTATCCCTACACTCCGGCAATCTTCAGGTGCCAGAATGGCCCCTTGAAACTGTGGGCATCCAGGTTTAACATATAGGCTGCTGTAAATTATGTTAAGGGCCAGACACACTCCCAGATTGGGGAAACGCAAAGGTGGCTTAAAGCCACCTTTCCCCTCTATGCTCTTCCTGAGGTGTGCTGAGTATATCCCCCCCACAGCTCAGGATCTAGCTCCACAGAGAATGCTCTATCAGTGCAAGCTACACTGTTTTGTCACTTACACCTGTTTTCTGACCAAGCTACACCTAACTTGTAGCCTTCACAAATTATAGAGTACCTGGCCGACTGTCAGCTTGGCATGGTACAGCAAACTTTTTCAGTGCGTCAGCATAGAAAAATAGCTTTCTAATATGCAGTGAATGTTTTCCCATCTGCTTTCTGGCATCCCAGACAAAATGTGTTCTTGCCACAATCATTATCAGATTTTGTTTAAATTAAAAGAAGAATCAAGATCTAATCTTTCAACTTCTTCATTTTATTTAGGTTGTGTTCCTATATTAAGAAAAAATGACACACCAATGGCTATAGGACCAATAAAATTATACCAGCAAAACGGTAAAATACTATTTTTTAAAAATCTTCCTGTTAATGATCCAGACAGTTTCAGATATAAGCTTTAGCACAGAGAAATACATATTTTCTTGGACATGTTTCTAATATGTATTGAACTATTTTTCTCTGTGGTTTATGAATAGCTTGTCCCACTTTTAGACTTCAGTTTCTTAGTGAATATTATTTTAGGGTGAGATGATATCAGTATTTAAATATATTGGTGTTCCACTATTCTCCTAGTGCTTTCTATATCTCTGAGGGGTTTGTATTGCTTTACAGGGAGGGACAAGTACCAGTGCCAAGTAGCAAGCAGCCAGCTAGCATTGCAATGTGTGTTTAGTTCAACATTCCCTAGATACTCAGGTTACTCAAGGATCCTCTGGGCAGGGAACAAAGAGCAGTGCTGGACAGCGTATGCTCTTCATTACTATAGCTCAGTGGTTTGAGCATTGGCCTGCTAAACCCAGGGTTGTGAGTTCAATCTTTGAGGGGACCATTTGGGGATTTAGTTGGGGATTGGTCCTGCTTTGAGCAGGGGGTTGGACTAGATGACCTCCTGAGGTCCCTTTCAACCCTAAGAATCTATGATTATATGCACATATTACTAGGTAGTATGAAGAACTTCCTTGTCTCTTTCTTTCATGTCAATTTCTGACATTTCACAATAAACTTAGCAACCACTTTCACGTGACTACCAGTTACACCACACTGAAGTAATGCTAAAGGCTATTAAAGATCAAAGAACCTGTTTGAGGTTTACTTGCCGTTTGTATAATGAAGAGGATTGTCCCACAAAGACGCAGATATTTATTAAATCGAAGCTCCAAATACTGCAAAAGAGGTGAATAAACAACTTTAATGTCAAAAATATACATTTATAGAAATGGTATTAAGAAATCTCCTGTAAGAAAAGATACTACTGTTCAGCAGAAGTAACAGTTTTTATATTCACATGAATGATTGTCAGCTCTCATGGTCAACCTGATCTTGTTTTCTGCAGACATCACTGTCATTTAGTTAAACCTGAGAGAAGCTAAATATTTACCTAGTCAGTACAAGATGGAGTACATAGAAGAGTTTGGTCATATATATGTAGCGCTTTCTAGCACAGGTGTCTTAAAGCACTTTACAGACGATAGTTGTACATTGTGACTGGACAAAATCCAGCAGTTGTTATGCCTTTAGCTACAATCCTAACTAGTTGTGAGTGAATATAACTTTTTTATTGTGAGGAGGAAGAAAGAGTTATCTCCACCCTCTTTGAAAACTGCCAAGATTTTTATTTGCACCAGAACAGCTGCTTGAGATGGGCAGAAGGCTTTCAGTTTAACTAGGTCATCTAAATCTGGATCTCCTGCTACTGTAAAACCACCAACAGCACTTGCCTGAGGCATTCACTGTCTGTTAGCATTATACATAAACCCAATTTGGGATGGTGTATAATAATAAATGAATAATAATAATAATACCCAGATCTTATACAGCATGAATAGGGCCCTACCAAATTCATAGTCCATTTTGGTCAATTTCATGGTCATAGGATTTTAAAAATAGTAAATTTCATGATTTCAGCTATTTAAATCTGAAATTTCATGGTGATGTAATTGTAGGGGTCCTACCCCAAAAAGGAGTGGTGGTGGGATCGCAAGGTTATTGTAGGGGGGGTTGTGGTACTGCTACCCTTACTTCTGTGCTGCTGCTGGCAGTGGCGCTGCCTTCAGAATGTGGTGGCCAGAGAGCAGCGGCTGTTGGCCAGGAGCATGGTATGGTATTGCCACCCTCACTTCTGCGCTGCTGCCTGCAGAGCTGGGCCCTCAGGCAGCAGCCGCCATTCTCAGGCCACCCAGCTCTGAAGGCAGCAGTGCAGAAGTAAGGTGGCATGGTATGGCATTGCCACCTTTACTTTTGCCAGATGCTGGTGGGGTGCTGCCTTCAGAGCTGGGTGCCTGGCCAACAGCCGCTGTCTCCGGCCACCCAGCTCTGAAGGCAGCACAGAAGTAAGGGTGGCAATACCACGATCCCCCCTAAAATAACCTTGTGACCCCCTGCAACTCCCTTTTGAGTCAGGACCCCCAATTTGAGAAATTCTGGTCTCCCCCATGAAATTGGTATAGTATAGGGTAAAAGCACACAAAAGACCAGATTTCATGGGGGGAGACCAGATTTCATGTTCCATGTTGCGTTTTTGATGGCTGTGAATTTGGTAGGTGTGGTAAGGTGAGGCCCTGAAACATAAACCCTTGTATCAGAGGCCCGGTATGAGACCTAAGGCCTGAGCTAAAGTAATGGTCAAGACTTTGCTAACATAAAGCAAAGTTAAGCTGTGAGCCAGAGGCAGGTCATGCTCACAGAAGCTGGCAAGAAGCAGGCTGATGCTGCAATTATACACATACCTGAGCACTAAGCACTAGTAATATAAACATGTGCCAGGATGGTACCAGAACAGTCCAGGACTAGCACATTCCACACAGACAACAAGGAAGACATGGTCCTAAAGGATAACATGATTAATAGAGTTGTTTTGTTCGAACCAACATGTACAGGGTGATAGGCGGCACCTTACTATGTAGAGGGGTTGTACCTCAATACATCAGGAGTGATGTGTAACTTGTCTGTACCTGTGTATAAGAATTCACCCCTGAGGAGTTGTCTTGGTCCAGCCTAAGGGGCAGTGGAGAGTCCCACCACTGACTGAGACGGTCCATTGTCAGGGGGCACATATTCGTAGTATGTCCTGTAGAGTCTGCGGGAAACTATTACTGTGTTTCGTTTGGCAATAAACCTGGCCGGGTGCCTTCGTACCTTATCGGAGTCTGTGGTCATTGGGGGTTCTGTCGGGGTTTGCTGTGTCAGCTATCTGCACAGAGCTGGGGCAGCACACAGAGGGAACACACGCACACAGCCGACTGTTATCAACATTTTGCACAGTAGAGCACCACACGGGTGACATCTGACGACAGTAGGGCCCTAAGCATGAACCACAACCTTCTGCCTACAGTGTCGGCTAAGACTCAAGACCCTCAACTGACAGTCAATCTTGGCTTCATTTGACTGTTTACCCTGAAATTTCATTCCCTTGTCTTAACAGAAACATCCATGTACAGTTGGGAAAAGGAGATCTCCTTTACCCGCCAATCTGATCAATCAACGCAGATACAAATATCTCATTATTTCAAAGAGTTCGCATTCGTCTTTGAGTCTTTGCAATTGGTTAAACATCACTTGAATTTTGAATGGATGCACACAGAGAGGCAGAGTTTAACTCTTCGGTGAACAAAAAGAAGTGTTTGCACTATGGTAGTCTGCTCGTACTATCAGTGCGGGGCATGAACTTAATGGCTGCACTATAATAATACTGCATTTTTTACTGGTCTTTTTCAGGAGTTAGTGTCTAGTCAGAAGTAAGGGCCCAAAACGTATGTGGTGCAAAGTCAATTTGAGGCAGCTAGAGATTTGTACTGGAGAACTCCCCCTATGTTGGAGAGAATCTAATAGAGGCTGTTCTTCCGCCTCCTGTGCAGAAACTTCACTGCTTGGTGTAAGAATAGGCAAGACGCAGGAAGAGTGAAGGGTTGATGTCAACAAGACTCCCAGTTCCCCATGGATGCTAGATCCCTCAGGGACTTTATGCCAGAGGCCTAACTTAAAATTGCCCCATGGCAGCTTTACCTCACTGGGCTGGGGTGCAGTGGAAAATCAAGCCCTAATTTTCTAAAGCCATATTTTGGCACCTAGGTAAAGAAGTGGCCTGACTTTCACACATGCTGAGCACTTGCAGATCTCATTGTATAAGTACTATGGAAAATCCAGTCACTGCTATTTAGGGCCCTGATCCAGAGACCTATTTATCTGTAAATGCAAGAGGAAGTCCCAATGAAATCAGTAAGACTGTTCATATGCTTGACTATTCATATGGGTGTCCAAATGCTCTGCTGGATTGGGCCTTTGTGCCTCAACATGGATTTAGGAACTTAAGCTGAGGCAGGCACCCAGGAATGGGAGTTTCAGCTTCTATTTTAGAGGGCTTTTCTTTGTGTTTTATTATTTATTCCAAGTCGCCAACCAATCTGTGCAAAAATAAATCCACAGTTTGGATTGAAAATCTGGAGGGCTAACAATCTCCAGGAGCAAACCCATATGGAATGAGTCTATTGAGAGGGGAGATCTTAGGGGTGGTGGAGAGACATGCCATGGCCTCTGCAAGGGGGAAATATCAATTGGAAGGGGCGGGCTAGTAGAGAGGCAAGGCCACCTAGGGGACGCTCCTGAGAGACACAGAGGCATAGGGGGTCGGTATGGAGGACACAGAGAGGATGCTGAATGGGGCTAGTGCTCCCTAAGGGGGAGAGGGGGCAGCCCCGCTTACCTCGTAGGTGCTGGTGATCCCCAGCCTGTAGAAGACGGGCAGGAAGACTTCGGCGCTGATGACCACCACCAGGAAGTAGGTGATGGCGAAGATGCAGAATATGGCCCCGTAGAGGTAGATCTCCGCCGGGGTGCCCAGCACGGTGACCGCCGACATGAAGCTGGCGGTGAGGGACAGCGCCACGGGCAGGGCGCTCATGCTGCGGCCGCCCATCAGGAAGTCTTTGGAGGTCTGCTGGCCGCCGCCCGCGAAGGCGTAGTACACGCCGATGACCGCGGAGACCAGCAGCATGGCCCCGAACACCACATAGTCCCACACGGTGAAGTGCCCGATGCTCATCGCCCGAGCCTCAAGGGCGCTCGCAGCCGAGGGGTTGTGTTTAACTCTGGAGGGGAGGCCCGCTCCGGGGGTTGCTACTCTGGGCTATGGCCGGCAACCAGCGATTCTCGATCTGCGCGCCCCGCTCCCTGCGCGCTCCGTGCCGACTCTGCGCGCCCAGCACTCAGTGCGCCCTGTGCCCGGCTCCGCGCGCCCCACTCCCTGCGCTCGGCTTTGCGCCCCTGCTCTCTGTGA